AGGGGAAAATGTACCCGGGCAGCCAGTAGTACACGAACGAGCATGCGAATACGAGCACGAAGAACCTGCCACGCGTCATGCGCTTCCAGAACGGCTGCGTACCGTCGGCAGCATTCGCGTCGGTATCGTCATCGCCACTGTCCTCCGCGGCAGGCGGCTTGCGGCCATGCAGAGTGTTGAACAGCGTGGAGTTGACCAGGTTGACGGGCCACACCATTGAGCTCGGTGTGACGAGGAAACGGCGGAGCAGGCCCGCAAACGAGTACCCCAAGATCTGCGAAGAGATGACGAGCAGGAACCCGCCGCCCCAGCTCAAGTGCAGGTTGAAGAACTGGCGCTGGATGACGATGATGTCGATTCCCATGGCCGTGGTCGCTGCCGAGTTGGCCATGATCGTGAGCAAGACGTGCTCCTTGACCGAAAAGTCGCCAGGGTTGAGGGAGAAGGTGAACCGTCCAAACCCAACTTGCTTGTCAGGCAGCACACGTGCCAGGAGCTTGCCAACTGGGAACAAGACGAGCTGGATGACCAGGATGCCGACCGTAAGAGGTTGTGCGCGGAACCAGAAAAATTGGTTGATGAAGCTCAGCACTATTGTGAAGATCAGGCCGAGGACGGTGGACCTAACGGTGACAGATGGCAGAGATGTATCGTCTGAAGGCATGACAGCAGCGCGCACTTCTTCGATAGGCGAGTCCTCAAACACGCCAGTGGGTTTTTCGATGCCAGACTCGCTATCAGTCATGTATGGATCTGCCGAAAATGGCTCGTCCTTCAACTCGCGAGGCTTTGCCTCTGCTGTAAACATGGTTGCAAACTGTGGAAGCAGCAATCAAAGACAATGGCTGCAGAGAAATTAAGCGAGACAATGGGAAGCAGCTACAATCGCATTACCAGAGAGTAGCCTGAAATGCAAATGGAAGCGACTATGTGGGCAAGAAAATAAGCTAGCAAAGAACCTGAAAGACCTGCTCATTCCATGCGCGCGAGTCTGGTGGAGTTTTATATGCTTCTGTATGTCAGTTTATTTGTACGCGTCTGCCTGCCCATATTCAATACTTGGGCTGCTGATCGCAAGCTCCAGTGGACGGGCGACAGGCGTGAGGACGCCGACTATATGCTCCATATTGATGTGGAAATCCGAATGTGGAAACCGCCTGCAGTGGCAGGAGCCTGGTCTTGTTATTAGGTTATTTCCCAGCGCCATTGCGCCATGGGTTTGCGAAACGATTTGTTGACGGTGGGTGCCCCGATCACCAGTGTGCGACCCAGATCCAATGGTGGACTGGCGAGCCGCTGGCTCGGCCTTATACAGCTGTCCGCACTTGGTAACCCGCTTCCCCCAATGCCACAATCGTGAACATATTCGGCGTTGGCAAATCTATGGGTGGTTTTGGGGGAGTTGCGGTTAATAAAGAGGGCGAGCCAGTACTGGATTTGTGGTACTAAAATGCGGCTAATTAAGAGAAGAATCAGGACTGCATGCTACTTGCTCGAAATTATTGATGTATCGGCGCCAACGTCTTCGTCTGTCTCGATGCCCAGCTGCTCGAAGAGATCATTCATCTTGCCCGGGTATCCCTCGCTGATTGTGTTTGATATCTCCCTAAACACGCGCTTCCGTGTCGCCCAGTGCTTAACCATTGCAGCATGCTCCTTTTCGATCTTGCTCTTCTCCTCGGGCGAAATGACCTCACCAGATCGCAAGTTTTCAAGCCTGCCCTCGTTTTCACCAATCTCCAAATTCAGCTTCGAGATGCGCTCCCGCATTTGATCGTCCGTCAAAGCGCTGTTGAGCCCGTGAAGTCGAGCAGCCAGCGCTTTGTTTTCTTCCTTTATCTGGGCCAAGCGGTCCTCCAGTTCCTTGATCGTTTCCTCCTCTTGCTCTGCATCCTCAACGCTGGGGACATCGATGTCTGTTTGGATCGCGTAAAATATTAGCTGCTTGCCATTCACCTTCCGCTCGATCTTTCCTTCGTCAGCCAGATCGTTGAGCATCTTTTTAGCCTGAGCTGGGGAGACGAGGCCATGGAGCTGACTTGATATATCATCTGCAAACAAATAAAAAGGAGAGGTAAATGGTGCTATTCTGCGTTAGTCTATTTTGCAAAGAATGGGCGCTTGCCAACGTCGCTGACACAGTCGATACTTACTAGCGCTGTAAGGGCGGTTTGACTTTACGAGGTACTCAAGCACAGCGGCTTCTACAAAGAACAGAATAAAGCATGGAAACAGCGCGCCGCATATGGGCTCTGTCAGCCATGTTGTTTATGGCAGTTTGTGATAGCTGTTTTCTCTGCAGGTACCCTGCCAGCTACGCTTGCACAGACTGCGTATGCTTTTTGAAATTTACCTTCGCCATCACTGCTCTTTGACTTCTTTGGCGGCATTGCGTAAAGGCAAAGATGCGCGTTTGAATTGAGGAAATGTGTATGGTGTATTAATGTATGAAGAGTGGGAAAGAAAGACTGCTGGACCTTCCTAGGCCACCCTTCGGCCGTCCCTCTAGCGGTGGCTGCGCATTTACCCGCAACCTGCTGCTTTCCTGCCATGGACGTTGCCAAGACTTGATTGATCAGTCGGTCTGGATCAAGGCGCATCGCAAATCATCCAAGATGCCTTGCTCCATTTGGGCTTCTGATTTGCTGCTGTCAGGCGACCCGTATTGTTTGGCACTCGCACATCAAGCAGCAACTACCCCGTGCACAGCGCTAGCCAAAAACAAGCTCGGCCGCCCAAGCTGGTGTGATGGCTTCTGATGAAAATAGTTGATGTGGTCATTCCTGGCCCGCATTGCTTCTGCTTCCGCTCGTGCTGCTCATGCTTGCTTCTCCGTTTTGACAACAAGGACACCGCATTTCACGAAAGAACGCAGCAGAGAGCAAAAGAGGCCACTGTGAAGCTGTTATTTAAGGAAGGCAGCTCTACGCTGGGCGTGCTCGCATGCATACATTGCGAGATCGGCGAGAGTGATATGGAAAGCAGGAATGTGGGAGGAGACAATGGGCGATATGGAAAGGTGATGTGCATGCTCACAATGAGAGTCGGAACAGGAAAAGCAAAAGCCGAAGTGGGGTGGCGTAGAGAGAATAAATAAAATAAAATACGACCGGAGGAGCATGGAGCCTGGCCGCTGCAGACATGCGCTTGGCAAGGAAGGGGAAGCGAAAATGAAGGCAGTTGGGTGTGTGCAATTCGTAATGGGTGGGATATTGGCGCAAAGTCTCAGCGGGACAGCCTGCCAAGCAGACGCTGGTGCTGCAAAGAGAGGGGCGGCTGCTAAGAAGACAATGGCTCCGGCGCAGCGCGTGACCGGCAACTTCTCGGAATGAGGCCACAAAAAAAGCTTTCTGCATTGATATGCTTGTCCCTTTTGCTCATGTTGCTCACGCTTCCCGAATGCTCACACTGGGCCCTTTGCAAATCATTGAACTTGATTTCCAATAGCCGATAAAACAAAGCACTCGCCCAATGAAGAGCCCACCACCCGCCCACGCCCGCACGCCTCCCCCTGTTCCATGGAGGATACCCCCTCCCTAGCGAACGGCAGAGGTATATAAATGCCTCCATGTCGCCCGCCTTCCATACCGTGTCCCGCCTTTGACCCTTACATACCGCACACAACACAGCGCAGCACAACACAATCGACTATACGCTCTCTTTTCCATCGTTCCTGGAGACTAGTGTTTCAGCATACATCCGCACTCGCCTTCCGCGCCATTCTCGCCAGCTGTAGCTTCAAGCGTGCTATCCTGAAGCCATGGATGTCTATAAGCTCATCACCCTTAACCAGCCCTATGCCACATTCCCACAGGCTCTGTACAAGTAAGCACACCCACATCTGCCTTTCCTGCTGACAGACCTCTCACCCATGGCTTGTTGCTAAGCGTGCCTTTTCCTGCCTCTGCTCTGCATCTGCTCTGCTTCTGCTCTGCCGCGTTGTACAACACCATGTAGAATACTCAACGAAGGCCACATGTGGATAGAGTGGAACCCTGAGGGAAACAAAATTAGATACAATGACCCGGATCGTCTCATGCGCGAGCTGCAGGCACTCGGCTTCAAGGCGCAGGACTCGGCATCTCTCAGCAAAAACTTCAACGTAAGCCATCCAATCCTTTCGCTTGCACATGTTTCTTATTTTTAAACTACAAACAAACGACAATGGCGCTCTATTTTCTTGTTCATTTTCTTTCCCCTTTTGTGCTTGAAATGTGCCTGCCTTGTTTCTTGATAAAGCCTCATTAAAAGACGTCCATGTATATCAGCTCGTAATAGAGATATTATTAGATGCTAAATTTCTCTAATTTCTTGGCATCCATGCGGTTTCCTTTCTTGCACTAGGACTATGGATTCAAGCGGCTGAGCGATGCTCGCAAGTCGCGATACGATCCTTGGAGAAGCAACTGGACAGTATTTGCCCACCCAAACTTTTTGCGGGAGAACCCTGAGAGCTCAAATGCCATCCAGCGTCGTCGAGCACGCCGCCCTCGCAGCCACCAGAAAAAGTCCTCCCCCATCTCCGATGACAGCGTCTGGTGAGCCGTGGTTGTCGCATCCATCCAGCGCCCCACCACCCACCCACCACACCTTGTCCACCACACTTGTAAAACTTTCACCCCATTCGCTTTCCCCTTTTGTTTATATTAAGAGCACATCATTACAGCGGTTTATTTCGGACATTTTGACAGACCCAATTGTGGCTGGACAAACAAGCACCAGGTGCTGCTCTTCCCATTATGCCGGCTGCAATGTAGGAAATAAAAAATAAACACATTCTCGGCTTTCCTTGGGAGCACGCAAAACGGCACAGCTACGAGTAGCGCTGGCATCCGGGTCCTCGCTGACAAAATGAGCAGCCTCGCCCTTGGCCCGTGAGATCGCAAACAGTGAGGCGCGTGAGCCAGAAAAAAAGGGCAAACGAGCAGGTGCTCCATGCGACTGATATATGCATGCTGTTGCTGGCCCAGCGGGGTGGCACCGCCGAGGTGCGAAAAAGATGCGACGACCGGGAATCGAACCCGGGACCAATGCTTGGGAAGCATCGATTATGCCACTTAACTATCGACGCCAGCTGGCATGCGGAAATTGATCCAATCACACACCTTTCTGTCCGAAAATCTTTGTTTTGAATGCCAATCTAGCTTCTTCCGTCTATACAAGGAAATTGTGGTCAAGAAATCTAGAGATGGACTATCCAGCATGGCGCACAGCAAGTGCTCGGCAGTCATGCAGTCTTGATACAAATCTATCAATCCACCTGCACGCATCGTATGCGATAATCCAGCCAGCAATGCAAAGTACTGTGTAGAAACAGCAGCAGCAGCAAAAACACACTGAGTCATGCTTAATTGAAGAGAAATGGTAGCCAGCACTACCTTCATCGCGTCTACTCATCCTCACTTGCATCTCCACGCAGGACTCTAACCAGAACTCCTTGCTAGCTGCGATGGGGCCAATGGCAAATATAGCTATGGCTTCCCTGCAGTCTCAGCTGGCCTGTGATTGCTTATCTGGTAAAATTCGTGCTACTGTCAAAGGCGTATTCAGAGTCAGTTTTCTCGAGGTAGCCTTTTAAGAATCTTTGACCTCGAGGCTGGTGCGCTGCAATGTGTGTTTTTTTCTTGCACATCCGTACTGCAGCATTCTGGTCGATAGATGCAGCAGGGTTTTATGCAGCTGCAATCAAAGCCAGTCAGCACTGCATTTTTATTACTTAATCGTCAATCAAAAAGTCCTGTATCTGCTTGCGTAGCTCTTCCCTACGCTCATCAGCCTCAGCACTACTGCTGCTGCCGTTGGATGCTTGCGTGTGTGTAGAGCAGGCGTTGAGTTGCTCGCGATAGCGTGCAAAGCAAAACTCTGGGAATGACGTGCCTGGCTTGGCCGAGTGGAGCAGGGTTTGGCACGAGTAACAGAGATGGGTCGTAATATCGAAAGAAGGCGGGCTTCCACGGTCAGAAACACTCGCTGAGGGCACATTGGCTAGAGACGTATCTCGAATGCCAGCACCAGGAGCGCTACTCACTGTCAGCCGGTTTCTCCACGCTTGTGCACTTGTTTCAGTAGGCATTCCGCACATTATGCATGGAAAAGAGGCCAATGCCTCCTGGCGAGGCTCAAGCTTTTGCAAGGTGCGGCAGACAGTTGATACGGTCGACGGGAAGTCACGGTCAAGGCCAACGACAAATGCCTCGGTAAGATGGTCAATAGAGGCCTTTGCCGGCGCCATTGTTGTAAAGGTCGGAACCACCACACTTCTCTGCTTGGTCCACTGGTTGAAAAACGCAACCTCTTTCATGATACAGTCGCGCATCGGGCGATATATGGCGACATCGCCGAACCACGTAGACTCGGAACACACTTCTAGCGGCAGAGAAAACCCGCGACCACGGCTAGTGTAAGAAATAATTTTTGTCGCAATGCGTGTTGCCGAGTCGCCCATCATCAGCACCCCGCATCCATGTCTCCGTGCTAAGCGAACCAGCAAAAAGCTCTTGATGTTTGCCAACATGTCCTCTCGATTAGTCGCCGAGCCGAGGCCCGCAAGCATGGCCTTTAGACGCTCCCTGTTCGGGATAGAGCTGTCCCGCTTAACCAACTGGGCAGAAAACCGATCTCTGACAGCGCCAGGCGTGATTGTAGAGTGCACGAGCTCCAGCAACGCAGATTTGTCCTCCTCAAGGTCAAACACGTCTTCCAGCCGGGCGACTTCGAACTGCAGACCAGTTTCCTCAGCAATGTGGCGGATCTCCTGGGTCTGGGTGCTTGGGAACAGCGCAGACTCGTCAACATGTCCAATAATAAGGTCAGCGTATATGGGCTCGGCGGCAGTTCCCTTCATATCCATGCCATGGTAGTCAGCCATCAGCCTTAATAGTGCGCTGGATGTAGCACCTCCGGAAAACGCCACCATCGCCTTTGTCCGAGGTATCTTCACACGCTGCCGTGATTTGCTCAGTGCACCGCGGAATTTGACCACAACTGCCCGTACAAAGCACTCTTTGCAGTAGAGGCAGCGGCGGATATCTACGGCGGGTTTCGCCGTTTTGCACTTGATGCATACCCCTGGCACTCGCTTACGTTCGTAGCGCCGTGGATCTATCGCTGGGGTGTCCGTAACGTCGCACATTGCAGTAAAGAAATATATGCCGAAACGCTGAATTAGGCGAGCCAAAGAAACAGAAATGCAAAGTGCTTGGCAAAAAAAAAGCAGGATTTTTGATTGCTGGCCCAAAAGGGGGCGAAGCACTGCCTGCCCCCTCGAGATTGCTGCCCTTAAGGGAGCATGTCCCGTGGCGCCTACCCAAGTGACTCACAGCAGAGCCAGAGCCTGTTATTTTATTAGTCACAGTGTCTCACCAGCACCCGAAACATATCCAAGTAGCGGCGGCGTTCTGAGGCTGCCTGCTTTCTTTTCACTCCGTACCATCTTCCTGACTGCTCGCCGTCTCCTCTTCATTGTATTTCTTTGCACTTTTCTAGCTTCTGCAGCAAGGGTCAAATATCAAGCAGCAGAGCCACTGCTGTTGTTCTTCTTTTTTGGCTGCACGAGACACAACAATGCCCGCTTCTTCGTTTGACATCAAGCGTCTTCTCCGCCCAAACATCCTCAAGCTCGAACCCTACCGCTGTGCCCGCGATGACTACAGCGAGGGGATCCTCTTGGATGCCAACGAGAACAGCTACGGCCCTGCATTCCAGGCAAAGATCACCAAAGCTGCCAACGGCCAAAGTGCTTTGAACATCGAGTCCCAGCCTGACCATCTCCAGCTGCATAGATACCCAGATCCCCTTGGCCGTGACGTCAAGCAGAAGATCCTCAGGCTGCGTCCCAGCGTGCCCAGCGTCGGCAATGTGTTTTTAGGAGTCGGCAGTGATGAGGTAATTGACCTACTCGTGCGCATCACTTGCCAGCCAGGAAGGGACGCAATCCTTATTACGCCGCCCACTTACGGGATGTACAAGGTGGTGGCCAACATCAACGATGTTGGTGTGGTGAAGGTGCCGCTGATTACCGAAGGTGGCGCATTCCAGCTGGATGTGGACGCTGTCATTGGCGCCGCCGTCAGCAATCCTGCTGTCAAGATTATTTGGCTGTGCTCGCCTGGAAACCCCACGGGAACGTTCTTGAAAGAAGAGGACGTGCGCAAGGTATTGGACTCGGCGTTCGAGGGCCTGGTGGTCATGGACGAGGCATACGTTGACTTTGTGAAGCCCGAAAAGGGCGAGTCGTACGCAAAGCTGGTTGCCGAATACCCCAACTTGTTTGTCATGCAGACGATGAGCAAGAGCTTTGGCCTGGCTGGAATCCGCCTAGGTGTGGGAATTGGAAGTCAAGAGCTCATTTACTACTTGAATAACGCAAAGGCGCCGTACAACGTCTCAACACTCTCTTTGGATGTAGCCAGGGAGGCGTTGGCGGATGCCAGCGTGCAGAAGATGAGAGGCGTGGTTGCCAGCCTCAGGCAGCAGAGGGATGAATACCTCATCCCAGAGCTGAGGAAGCTGCCGCATGTCGGGGCCATCCTCGGGGGCAACGATGCGAACTTTGTGCTTTGCCAGCTTGTCGATAGCAATGGCAGCACGTCCAACGACATTGCCAAGAGCCTGTACACCGAGATGGCCGAGAACAGGGGCTTGGTCGTTCGCTACCGTGGATCGGATCATGGGTGCGAGGGTTGTCTGCGCATCACGGTTGGCACAGTTGAGGAGAACAAGGCTGTTATCGCCACCATGCGCACCCTTTTGAGCGCTATTCCTTGATTTACTGTTGGAATCCTTTGAATGGCCGTTAAAACAAATAAAGGCGAAAGCATACCATACACAGCGAGCCCCCTTCACCCCTTGCAGCAGCAGCAGCCAGAGAAGACTGGTTTCACCCGAGCATTATCCACTTAGCCAAAGGCGCAAGAGAAGCTCGACTTCGGGGAGAGATGGGGAGTGGTCATCATTGTCTTGAGTGCATCCTCGTGATCAGTGGATGCATGGCACGTGCACTGGTATAAAAAGGCTCAGGCGGTGTATGTGCTCTCAGTCAAGCAGCAGCAGCAGCAATGCGGCCCCTACTCTGGATTCGAGGGATATACTCCAGTGTTGTTTCTCGTCACCAGAGCCCGTTTGACCTTCCTCTCTTCTCGCTTCATTGCAAATATCAATAAATATCGCTCGTACCTGTGTATTCTATCTCGCCTCCACGCACCTTGTGCCTTTCAAAGGATATATACACGCCCAATAACGGCAGCCAATATCACAAATACGCCTCCTCTCCCCCGCCTGTCCTTCATAAAATCGCACTCCATTTAGCCGCCTGTGCGCTCTCCCCCTTTCTTTCTCTCCTCTCTATAGCTACTGCTGCCACTTGCCTCCTGTTTCGCTTCCACACGCCCGCACACAAGCACCGTAGTAGTATATCGTGCACACTTACCGACGCTCTTTCCAAGCTACCTGCTTCCCTGCCAGGCAAAATAGCAGCAAGTCAAGTGCGCCTGCAAACCTCCACACAAATACTCGCCTGCTTTTGTTCCCACACACACACCCGCTTCTCTGCTTCTCGTCTGCTCTTCCTTCTCTCTATTTTTGAAGCACTATATTCTAGTACCCTCAGACAGCTGACTTTGCACTCCCTTGCTTTGAGCACGCCAAGGGAACCAACGTTTGACCAGAGCGGCCCTTGTATTCGTGTTTTTACCTTTTCCGCCCTCTATAAAACACTGACCAGGACTACCCAGGAAGCAGCACCGCTCTCGGCCGCTACATATTCATTCAGCTGGGACGTCCAGAAGAAATGCCCGTAATAACGCACCGCAGAGTCAACGAAATGCGCAGCGGTCGGCGACGGCTAAGCGTCGGCGTGGTTGGCGCATACAGTGCTGTTGCTCTTGGAAGCCCCCGCAGCACTGCCTTCAGCTTCTCACGTCACAGTCTAGGCAGAAGCCCCAGCACCCCAAAGGACTGCAGCGACAGAATATCTGCCTCCCCTGAGCGGAGAAACAATGCTCGCTCGGCGAGCTTGGGTGATGCTGCCACCACAACCGCAGGCAGCACTGGCCTATTGTTCGAAGGCAGCCT